AGACAGTCCTCTGACCTCCACTTCCCAAAGTGCTGGGATTATAAGCATGAACCACTGCGCTTGGTTTTTTTTCCCCCTTGAGACAGAGTCTTGCTCTGTCACACAGGCTGTAGTGCGGTGGCACAATCCTAGTTCACTGCAACCTCAACTTTCAAGCAAGTCTTCTGCCTCAGTCTCCTGAGTATCTGGGACTACAGGTGCACACCACCACACCCAGCCAAAATTTTTTATTTTTTGTAGAGACAAGGTCTTGCTATATTACCCAGGCTGCTTTCAAACTCTTAGCCTCAAGCAATTCTCCCACCTCAGGTTCCCAAAGTACTGACATTACAAGTGTGAGCCACCACACCTGGCCATATTATAGGGGTGTTTTTTTGTTTGTTTGTTTGTTTGTTTGTTTGTTTTAAGCAGCCCTATCTCACCATTGCCAAGTCCAAGCAATTTTACCAAAGTGATTTTGCTGCAAGTTGTTCTTTGGAAAAGGAGAGTTGGGGGAGGGTGTCTGAGTCAAATAAATTTAGCAAATCTTGCACAGCGACCTCTTCTGGGAGAGTCACAATGCACGTCTGCACATGACCAGCTTTGAGGTGTCTTACAGTCACCCAGCTTTTCTCCAACATACTTGGCACACATCCTCCGTGCAAGACATCCTGCAAACGCAGCGCTCCAGGAAGCAGTCGCTGGGAAACCCCTCCCTAACTCCTGCTCTCCGGGTAGCTAAACTGCATCTCCTCCCTGAGGTCGTGCTTTGGGGCTCTATGAACCCAAAAGCAAGACCCAGCACTGATTCCTGGAGCACACCATCTTGTTAGAGTCAGTCCCGCCCACTTCCGCCTATCAAGGTCTCTCTAGAACTCGATGCTTGGAACCCTATTTATTTTGAACCTATGTCTCTCGAGCCAATGTCTCCACATGCACACACCCCTCTGCAGGAAAAGGGCAGCCCTCAGGTGACCGGCCAGTTCAGCCCTGCACACACGCCGATCCCCCTGGGAGGCCAGGCTTGGGCAAGTTCCTTCCTATAGAAACAGCCCTGCAGGGCCGGGCGCTTCCCGGGCATCCGGGAGGAGTTTCATGTAGTTTCCAGGGAGATGCGTTGGGCTCAAGTTGTTTTTCCATGGAATGGCCCCAAAGTGAAAAGAGGTTGCTGGAAAGTTGAATTATTACCTAATTCCGGTAGCAGCTGCTGGGAAGAGGGAAAAGGGGTGGGAGGAGCTGGTGTCTGGGAATTGGGGGCTCATTAACACCGGAGTCTTAAATTAGCAAATCCTTACAGTGCATGTCTAAAGATAGCAACCTAATGGTTTCTAAAATTAGCCTCACTGCTTTCCATAAATATTTAGATCTCCAATAAACTTCTGGTCCACTTACCTAGCCTGATGGGGTCAAATAGGCTTAGTCTTATGCCACATTCTTTAGGATCCTTGTACTCGATGATTGACCTTGACAAACCAGAGCTGGGAGAAGCCCCAGAATGGCCTGGACCAAGCCTGTTCAGCCCTCAACCTGGAGACAGCCTCAGGGTGGGTAGGGCCGAAGGAATCGCAGAGGCTCTTTGGAGATCTGGATACCCAGAGGAGTTAAGGGTCTTGTTTGCTTGGGACTGTCCCAATTTCAGCACTGAAAGTCCCCTGTCCTGGGCCACCCTTCAGTCCCCAGCAAAGCAAGACAATAGGTCACCCAGGCTACCCAAACCTCTGTCGAAGAATCAAGACCACGTTCTGGGATGCCTTCAAGTAGACTCACCTCGTTAGAATCTGTCACTGAGACCACCCTAAGTTCTAACGCTGAATTCAATCCTATTTCATGGGAGCAGATAGTGTTTAAAGGAGGAATGAAACCAAGACAATACTAGCCAAGCCAGGAATAGAATTTGCAGCCTCAGCACATGCCCAGCTTCCCCATGTACAAAACAGATATGGTGACAGTTGCCACTCCATTAGGTTGTTGGGAACAAACTGGATAGCATATGACAGTGTCACATCATGCTCAGGCCCCATCAGCTGGCGTGTTGTGAGCAGCTCTGGCTGGCACTCGGGGTATCGAATAGGTCCTCTGGTGCCTGCCTTAGCTGCCCACATCAGAGCAGCCACCTTGGTCTTGGGGCAGTAGGGACTGTGATGGTGTCTCAGTCCCTGGGCAGGGTGGGTGCTTGCCAAGTGTGGGAAGAAAGACTTCGTGCAGGGCCTCAAAATCCAGCACTGTGACAAAGTGCACATAGCAAATCCAGCACATACCATGTGGGAAGAAAACTAGGCCCCGAACAAATGATCATCCAAAACATCAGCAAAAAAAACTTCACCCGGATACCCCCCCGGTCCGCTGTGTGTCCTGTGAGGCACCACGTTATTTTGGTTTGTTTGTTTGTTCATCTGTCAGGACAGAACTACTGAATACCTCCTACAATGCCAAGACATTGAAGCCCAGTGTATTTTTTGTTTGTTTGTTTGGGTCAGGGTCTCACTCTCTTGTCCAGGCTGGAACGCAGTGACCTGACCATGGCTCACCACATCCTCAACCTCCTGGGTTCAGATGATCCTTCTGCCTGGCTAATTTTTTTTAAATAGAGAGACGAGGTTTCGCTATGTTGCCCAGGCTGGTCTCAAACTCTTAGCCTCAAGCAGTCCTCTCGCCTCGGCCTCCCAAAGTGTTGGAATTTCAAGCATGAGCCACTATGCTCAGCCCAGTGTGTATTTTTCAATCCAGCAAGATGATGTTTTAGTCCTCCGGTGCAAGCATCAGTTAATAGTCACTAACCAAGTCCTTCATCGCGATTTACGTCCAGTAGGGGTTTCTTAACAACATCCCAGGATTAAAGATGAGGGCTATGGGGCCCCACAAATGGCTCTCCATGCCCTCCCCTCCCAAAGTGTCCCTGCCACCCAGGAAACTGCCTCCCGCCTGCAACCTCCACTGCAAAGTGCAACACATTCCTTGCTCTGAGGAAGGAGGAGGAAGCCGGCTTTGTCTACTGAATTCCTTACTGGTTTGGAACAGTGAAGTGACTTGTCATTAGGCAGAGACTTGTCATTAGGGAGACGCTTCCCTTTTCTCCCTTCAGAATCAGAAGACACTTCAGGGTTGTGAATGAAGTCTGGCTTCCTCATTTAAAGAAGAAGCTGAGCCCTGGAGAGGGCCACCCCTCCCTCACCCCCCACCCAGTCACCCAGCCAGAGCAGGCAGCACTGGGGCCCAGGACTCCTGATTCTGTCTTTTGCTGGTTACCCTGCCCTAAACTGGAGGGAAGAGTAGTATTCAGAGGATTTCCACTCCCCCTCCTGTCCTCCTCCCCCCCATCTCTCCCTCCCTTCCTTTCTCCCTCCTCCTTCCCTCAAACCCACCCCCTCTTCCTCTCTCCTTCCCTCCTCCCTCCCCCCTTCCTTTCCTCTCTTGCTGCCTTGCTTCCTCCTTTTTTCTTCCTCCCTCCCTCTCTCTCCCTTTCTCCCTCCCTCCCTCCTTCTTTCCTTCCTTCCTTCTCTCAGTATTTCCTTTTTTCTTTCCTTTTTTTTT